CTGTGCTCCCCGTATATCACACGGAAAGAGCCGCTGATGAGATGGCGACGATGTGGGGGAATGGGAGAGCGCAGCCAGTGCGGCTGCCGTCGCTTCCCCGACGGTGTAAAACGGCGTCGCTCTCCAATCAACCCCTCCGCTCTCTGCTGCACAGAAGAGCATTTGTCGCGTCAAGATCGGGGGGGTCAGACCTGGGCCTGCTCACCATCAGACACGGCTTGGACAGCCTGCCCCCACCCCTCCGCACCTCTCGCACTCGTCACCACTACACCCTTGATTTCTTGCGGACCCGATCTGATGCGACGCGCGAGCTCATCATTGTTGACGAGGACAGTTTCGAGTACTGGGATGGAAATTGGGGTGTAATGGGCGTCGAGAAGTGCGCGCGTGTATGCGTCAGACTCTGTTGGATGTGTGGGAGCACGAAGGAGAAGGACATTGGTATTCATGGATATTGTCGATATTCCGACCCTTCAAAACGGGTAACGAGATAAATATGACAGGATGAGAATAAATGTCTTGTAGACAGCTTGTAGAGCTGCTGGGAAGAGCGCCGCGCAAAGTATGTGTTGAAGTTTCCACGAAGTCCACAAGCCGGCGCCTAAATCGCACACGCGCCTAACTTCATACCCGCGGCTTTCCTCGCCGTCGACGGCGTTGAACTCGACGCTCGTACCACAACCAGACCAGCGGCATCATTCACAACCCCCCTATCGCACCCCTTCTGTTCTTCGACATGGCGACAAAAAAGGAGAAACCCCTTCACTCACTGGTGGCAGGAGCAGTGGCGGGTGGAGTTGAAGCGTGAGTCTCAGGAGACCCGCGTCTACGCAGCCTGAGCGTGCCCTGACTGAGTCCAGGACATCAGGTTCGTGACCTATCCCACTGAGTTCGTCAAAACGCGATCGCAGTTTGGTGGAAAGGTGCACTATGTTGGTATACCGCGAAGTACTCACCGACTGACTGCTTGTATGCGTAGCGAGAGTCGCCGATAGCCATTATCCGCGAGACTCTTCGTTCACAAGGCGTGCGCGGTTTGTACTCTGGGTGCGCAGCACTTGTCGTGGGCAATTCGGCCAAGGCAGGAGTCCGTTTTGTCTCGTACGACCACTTCAAGCATGCCTTGGCCGATGAGCAGGTGAGTCTTCGATTCTCCAGGACCTCGCCCCATCAAGACTCACGACATTTTGACTCGAGGGCAAAGTCAGCGCACCGCGTAGTCTTCTTGGTATGTTTTTCCTTCTACCCTACCCGTCATGACGCTCATGTTTCTCCATCCGCTTAGCTGGTCTGGGTGCGGGGATGATGGAGGCTATCTTTGCCGTGACACCGTCTGAAACTATCAAGTGAGTGAAGGATCTTGAATACCGATTTTATCCATCGATACTCAGGGTGTGTATGCATTCAGAACAAAACTCATAGACGATGCTAAGAGACCAACACCGCAATACCGGGGCCTAGCGCACGGCACGGTGATGATTGTGCGCCAGGAAGGTTTACGTGGTATATACCGCGGTCTATTTCCAGTGGTACGTCTCATTTACTTGCACCGGCACACATCTCCTGTGAGTCATGAGCCCTGATTTCCGACCTTAGATGATGCGGCAAGGCGCGAATTCTGCGGTGCGGTTCACGACATACACAACGTTGAAACAATTTGTCCAGAGTCGCTCACGTGGAGGCACGACTTTGCCGACGAGTGTGACGTTCGGTATCGGCGCCATTGCAGGTTTAGTGACAGTTTACACGACGATGCCTCTTGAGTATGCGGGTCTTTTCATCCTGCGAAATCATTTTGATTTTTCGGTACATTTATAGCGTGATCAAAACCCGCATGCAGTCGCTAGAAGCTCGGGCGCAATACCGCAATTCCTTCCACTGTGCGTACCGGATATTCAACGAGGAAGGCCTTCTCAGATTCTGGACGGGCACAACTCCGCGGCTTGCCCGATTGATTGTAAGTGCAAATCGCTGTTTGTCCAGCCCTTCTTGACATTTGCCATGCAGATGAGTGGTGGAATCGTGTTTACCATATACGAGAAGATAATTTCGGTCATCGGGGGCAGAGAAGATCCAAGCAGCGGGGTGGACGCCCGTAGTTAGTAAGTTGTTCGAGAGTTTGAACCTGTGAGCCCATGATTTCCGTGTCAACTTTCGATTCCTCTGCTTTCTGGTGCTCCAGGGAAGTCCTCTTGAAGCGTGTAGTTGCAATGCATGGCCAGGCCTTAGGACGACCGACTCGGTGTCGGACAACGACTCGAGCGCGCTTACGTCACGCGTTGACTCATCCGGCAATTCGCGGACCGAGGCCCGACGCGCGCCTTCGCGCTCATTCCGGAATCTTCCTGAACGCTGACTGCAAGCTGACAGTGACACCGACGCGTACTTGTGATGGCCATTCCGCGAGGTTCCAGTATCTTCACCGCTGCGGCGACGCGTACCCCCGACGCGTATGCGCTGACTGATCATATTTGGCAGCGTATAAAACCCGCACCCCCGCCGTCCTCCTTGCTAACTATCATCTTTTCCATACCACAATCACAACAGCTCATCTTAGCGGAACATGTACTTCCTCCAGCGTTCTGCTTCCCCCTACTCACAGCCCTCTGTGGAGGGCCTCTACCCATCTCACTCCACACGGCACCCCGCCTACTCCGCACCCCACGCTTCCTTCCACTACCCCAGTGCCGGGTTCTCGTACCCTGACGTCAGGTACTCGTATCCAGTTGGAAGGCCTTCGTATCCGGAACACAGGCCCTCTTACCCCGAGGTCGGCTATCCGTATTCCGATACTTATCCCGTCCCTGCGGCCCCCTCACCCTTTCCAGATTTCGCTTCTGACATCTTGACCTCGGAGGCCCGTTATCGCTTTGCGCTTGCAGAAGTACAAGCGGCCGAAGAGGAATACGCCGCTCGTGTCTCGCTTGCCCGTGCGCGCGAAGAGGCTGTTCTCAGACAGCGCGCGGTTGCCGCCGAGAGGGAGAGACGCGCAGCGCTCGCTGCCCAGGCTGAGGTTGCGCGTGCGCGGCAGTTCCAAGTCGAGGTCGAGAGGGCGCGCATTGTGAAGGCGCAGCAGCAGCTTCTGCAGAGGAAGCGGGCTTTGCAGGAGCGTCAGATTCTTCAGGCAGTTCTCAGTGCACGCTCTGCCGCCCCTGAGCTCGAGGAGGCAGCTGAACCTCGCGGCAGGACCCTTCACTTCCACGCTCCTCCCACTGCCACACGTCCCCGTCGTGGTTCTCCTCCGTCTCGTCCCCACGAGCAATCCATCGATCTGATTCAGTTCCTGAGGCTCTTATCGTCGCCTTCCGTCGCTCACTCCCACACCGAGGCCGCCGCACCCGCTCAACAGAAGCGCGAAGCTCCGAGGCAGCCTCTCGAACACGATGAGGATGCCGCAGCTCTCCACGAGCTTCTCGAGTTCCTGCACGGCACTGCTGCCGCGGCGCGCGAACACGAGCAACCTGAAGTTCCGCGCGATGTCAAGGGCAAAGGCAAGGCTCCCGCGCCCCTCGCGCCCACCCCCGAGACTGTGAAGGCGAGCCTCGAGCAGCGTCTCGAGACAGAGACCGACCAGGAGATCGAGGACACACTCCGCGCCATCATCCTCAGTCTCGCGGACCAGGGAAGGGCGGCACGCAATGCAGGCTCTCAGGCCGGTGCTTCTTCGTCCAAGGTGTGTTTCACTCATTTCTACCTGCAATACTATGTGCTGACTCGGATGATTCAGGTGAAGCTCGACGGCGCTGACCTCGAGCGCTCGTCCGCACTCGCGGGCGCCGCCGCCGCCCGCGCGCAGGCGTCTTTCCAGGCGCACCGTGCCGCGACCTCCGCATCCCCGTCCGCCTCGCGCAACGCGTCTCCTATGCGCTCCGTGCCGACGCCACCCCCGTCACCACTCGTTGCCATTCGTACCGTTCGCACTGCGCTTTTGAATTTGAAGGCCCCGGCCCCGAACGACGCGGATGCCGTCAGGGGTTACGAACACGCTTTAGAGGGTCTTCTCGCGCGCTTGGATGCTGTGGAGAGCGAGGGTGATGAGGAGGTACGCGACGTGCGCCGGGAGGTGGTCCACGAGGTGGAGAAGGCGTTGGAGGCTCTTGACCGTGGTGAGAAGAAGTCGGTCGAGGAGGAAGTAAAGGGGTACGATGTGGATGTGCAGGATGAGGTCGCCGTTGAAATCGCCGCCGCACCCGCTGTGCAGGAACCCACTACTGAAGATCGGGCTCCCTCGCCCGACACTTCTGTCTCCGCCGACCCCTCCAGTGACGTACTGGAGGTATCTCACCCCGAGTCGCCCGTATCTGTCAACGTCACCGAACACGTCCTCGAACACGTCCCCGAGAGCGACCCTGTCCCCGAAACCGTACTTGAGATCGCTCCCGAGGCCACCCCTGCTGCCGTCAACGTCGCGCCTGCCGTCCCGGAGCCGGAGACTTTCGCTCCAGCCGCCGCCGCCGAGCTAATCGACACAGACGCTTCCTCCACCACTATCTTACCCATAGAGCCCACCGCGACGCCTGAAAGCGTCTCCGTCACACCCGCGCCTTCCGAAGACTTCCTTTCGTCGCTGTCGCACGACCGGTTCACCTTTCCCCCTCGCCACCGAGAACCCGAACCGGAATCAGACGACGCCGTACTGGTGCATGGTGGGGAGGAGGATGCTGTGAAGAGCGCGGATGAGTGGTCAGAGGTCGATGCGTAATTGTACCAGGCCTACGCGCCCTTACGGACCGTTTAGATTGAGTAGCTTTCCTCATGGACGTATCTTGTCTCATTGTATTTGTACAAGTGCACAGTAATTGAACTTCTTCGAGATTCACAAACAGCCTGAATTGAGTCCGAATCGCTACTATTGCGTCGTGATATACCTCTGTAAGCGGAGACTATCGCGGCGTGAGAGCTGCCAAAATCGCGCGCAGCGACAGAAGAAAGGACTGGTCCTCCGCGCAGCGACAGAAGAAAGGACTGGTCCTCTATTCTTTGTTCCCTACCGTCTGTATGCCCGCCTAGCTCAATCGGATAGAGCGCGAGACTTTTAAGCAGTCAGTGTGCGAGGGTCGAACTCGCACACTTCGCGGCGGCGTGGCATCTCGAGGCTGCGGGTTCGACCCCCGCGGTGGGCTATTGCGTTTTTTATGGATATTTCTCCTGTTAATTCCTTTTTTGGGATGTCTATAAATATTTTATATTATATATTAAATATGTCTAGCAGTTGACTTAGAAGAAATTGTAAATATGTGTGTATATAAGGCTTATCCAACTCTCTTGGACCACCAATGGCAAGAGACCAATGATTCACTGGCTGGGCGCCGGCTGCATTGGAACTTATCCTGTTGTACCATTGCTACAATCCAATTTCGGCTGCGGATATTCTACGTGTTGTCGGCTTGTTTTGACAACTTGATCGATGATCTGCGAATTTCGGATTTATTTTGGGATATCCGGCGGTCAGCTTAGAAGTGCGCCATCGAAGATTTGAGTAGGGAGCAAATGACTTACATCGAGGTCTCGAAAGAATCGGTTTGGCGATCTTGGATGAATATACCCCGACTACATGTAGACATCGCGCGACGAACCGCGTGGCCTTTACTTACTCTTACTTTTGGTCGAGGTCGAGGGTCTGATATAGGTACCTGTACGAGCAGTGAGTGTTCGGCATGCAATAATTTGAAAAGGATACCACGGCTGTCTCAAGGGCAGTGTAGAAGCCCGACCCCTGCAGCGATTCCAAGGCTGGACCCACCCAATAGTACCCGTAGAAACGAGGATCAGCGCTCGACCTTTACAGCGATTTGCATAAATGATGTCAGTCGGCGGCGCCAAGAAGCTCGTCGCGCGGCGCCCCGGAAGAGCTCGTCGCGGCGCGGCGCCAGATCGAGCCTCGACGCGTTCTGACGCGCGAAGCACGTCTCTGTTCTTCGTCGCTGCTTACTCTTCCCTCATCCCTTACACTATACACTTTGCCGGTCCATAAACACTGTATCCGATGCAAGACGACGCTATCTCTATCTCTGAGTCATCAGAAGCCTCCACTATCTTACCTGAAGTCAGCGAGATTATTCAAGAGTCTATTGAAGCAGCGGCGAACAAGGTTGTGGTAAAACCTGACTCCGAGGTCAAGAAAAGTGGGTGTACTTACCTTTTTATTCCTTGTCATTGTCTGACTTAGCTTCTGTAGAATCTCCTTCCAAAGTACTGGAATGCCAACTCGCATTTTACACACACTCTGAGCTGAAGAAGCCGAAGGGGAAGCCTAAAGCGATTGCCGGGTTCCTCAGCCTGGACACTTCTGCCAGCTTCGAGGCTCTCAAGAGTGAACTTCTCGTCCAGCTGCTGAAGCAATTCTCTGCCGCGAGCATCAGCACAGAGGGTATCACTTCCCTCGATGATTTCAAGCTATCTTTTCAAGTCCCCCGCATCGACAATAACCCCTCCCTTCTTCACGACAACGAGTCTTATGGCTGCATGATCCTTCGGCCCGTCGGGGAACAAGGGCAGGTCGTAAGGCCTTTACAGTCAATATCACCGTCAACCAGCTCTGTGAGCCTAAGCACGCTGCTAGCAGTACAATGGTATGTAGCTATATGCGCATACAATAGCCTGTTGTATGCTTATTCTTCCCTCTACAGAAGCGAAAGGAGTCCATCGACAGCTCTGATGTCGACACAGATGCGCCTCCAAAGCCGAAGAAGTCCAAGACTTCCAAGAAGCCTGCATCTGAGAAGGAGAATAAGAAAACAACGAAGGTACGAGTTCAACTTCTAACAGAACTTTCTCTGGCTGCAACAGCTTTATAGATTCCGAAGGCGGTTGATCTCGATGGCGCCAATAAACCAATAAATGACAATATCAAGTTACTGAAGGCGGCTTGGTCGTGTTCGAAACCGAACTGCCGAACAACAGGCTGGTGCTACATCTGTCCCGAGGACTCTTCGCATCTTGCTTTGGGCGCGCAGCACCTCAACGTATGGGCTGCTGCGATGGTATGTGTATGCTATGAACGCATGCCAGCAAGGTCCGCTTACAGTTCTGCAGTTGAAGGGCGAGGACATAGCAACCCCAATGAAGCCGCCGAACCATACCCTATTTGATGCCTTTCCAGTAAAAGGCGCACAAACGATGCTTCAGCGGCGGGCTGTGCAGAACAAGGTCGATGCAGCGCCGCCTCCGCAGCAGCAGCCCATCCAGATCATCAACAACATACCCGCACCTGTCGATTCTTATCAATTACGCCCTGGACCGCAGCCTGTCACGACAACTCAGACAACGCTACTTCTTCCTGAGCATCTCAAGCCTGGACGCCGCATGCCTATCAAGGACTTCTGTTCGCAATACGATCTCTCGGATCAGATGCGCACTCATCTCGTCGATAACGAGTATACTGGAACCCATACCTTCCGCCATATCACCATTACCGATTTGAAGGACATGGGCTTCAAGTCTGGAGCCATCGCCGAGCTCAAGGAGGCCGTGCTGAGGTGGGCGAATTCCGGCGAAGACGTCGAGTAGGTCAATCAGTCACTTTATTCGGACACTGCTTTACCGCCACTGCTTTCGGCTTTTGTTCTTGCTCTTTGTGTCTCATCTCTGTTGTTATCACTGCTGTCATACTCCGGACACTCACTGTGCTCATTCATACTACACTTGCATTTGTTCATTATTCTACACTTTAGCATCAGAAATACCCGGAATGAAAGAAGTAGCCCTTTGCATCGTCTGCTGTAATACAGTTCATTGCCTCGTACATGTCATATATGATCCCATCCGATGTGGCAAAGTACAATTCATTGCGACGGATGAATGCCTTGATCTTTGAAAAGGCTTCCTCGATGGGATTGAGGTCGGGAGAATAAGGAGGGAGGAAGACAAGCCGCACACCTGAGGGAACGTCAGGAACTTATCGGACAAAGGAAGTCGACAATGACATACCATAACGGGCTGTCAACTCCAAGATCTCCGCGCCATGATGAATGCGGGCATTGTCCATAACAAGGACACTCAGCCTTCCGGGATATGGTGAGCACATTGGAAGCTAAAGACCGTCAACAGATAGATTGCTACACAGAACTCGTCGATCACATACCACGGTTTCCTCGAGAAACGCGAGAAATTTGTCTCGGGTCATAGAGCCCTCGATAACAAGAGAAGCAACCATGCCGTCAATCGTCAGCAGACCTTCTGCCGTCAGACGACGCCCCCGCACAAAGACACCCGGCATCTGTGCTCTTGTGCCCTTCCTCGACCGACCATTCTTCCTCTGCACAGTCCTCTCATCCTTCGAAGTCTCGTCTAGAAAGCCGAGCTGCTCCGGTGTATATTCAGCGATCCTTCGTAAGAAGTCGGCACGAAGGTTGTCGTTTCGTTCCTTCGCGATGCGCCTCAGCTTCTTCACAGAGACGCCAGCACGACAAAGCTCGCGGTGGATGGTGGTGAAGTGTACGGAGATGAGACGGTGTGTTTGGAGGAGGTCTGTAAGTTCATCAAGGAACCAAGATGGACGGTTCTTGACGAGCTCGAGGATGTAGTCAAGGTCGCTGCGGATGAGCATTCTCGGTCGCCCCCGTGTCGTCGAGCGGTGTGTCACAACATCACCAGAGTCTTCCCAGAGTCTCTTGATCCGCCAGAATGTTCGTTCAGAGAAACCAGCACAGGTCAAGATCGTGTCCAGGTCGAGTGCGCCGTTCTCGTAGAGGTGTATCACTGCAAGCTTGAGATCACGGCTGATGACCCTTCCGACCATTGAGAAGACGGTTCGAGATGGTGAAGAGAAGGGAGTGGGAAGCTATGAAGAGAATAAAGAGCACAGAGGAGCGAGAGCATGCGAGATGGGGGAAAGGGGCAGAGGGCGATATCGCTGACGCGTCGAGAGGCTCGATCTGGCGCCGCGCCGCGACGAGCTCTTCCGGGGCGCCGCGCGACGAGCTTCTTGGCGCCGCCGACTGACATCATTTATGCAAATCGCTGTAACCATGGACTCATGCGAGCACTCACGGTCCAATGATTTCCGTAGACGGATGGAGAGCCGATCCAGCTGCTGGACGAAACACGCGAGCAGCATGGCTGCGCTCATATACCACGCGGGTAGATCTGACAGAAAAGCGACTTTAGCTATGAACATAGACCAAGCGGCTCGCGCGAATACAAAGTCAACCCGACGCCTAGCTACTCACATGAAACCCCCTTCGTGAAGATGGTGCGGTAGACTTACGTCGCAATATGTGTCGCCTCGTGCTAGGACGGGTTCTGCGGTGATAAACATCTCAATGAGTATATGCTGTAACGGACCCAGCCAGCTTGGCGACGCAGTATATCACAAACCTGACGAGCTTTACGACACCGACGATGAGAAGCGCGAGGCTTATGTTGGGAACAAAGAATCCTCCGGTTGCTCTGTAGAATAGCCACGAGTTCAGAGATGAAGAGATTGAGACCCGTGGACGGGGAGATGTAGAGGATGCGCACAACAGCCGAGTCTCAGAATGAGGGGAGTGGGGGGAACTGAGAGCAGTGGGGGGAGAAACGGCTGAGGGGGATGAACGAAGACGTGGGGTCTTATATACGCGAGAGATGGAGTGCGATCGGAGACGGGAGTGTGATCGGGGACGTCGTGGACGTCATGTTAATGCAATGATGAACGAATCATGATGGGGAGTCCGAGCCCTTCTCCGGCGTGGGCCGTGGCAGCCTGCAGCTGTGTCCTCGTCGTTCGATCGCGAGTGCCGTTGTGGGCGAGGAAAGACCTTGACGTCAGAAGGAATTGATACAGTCACGCTGTGACCACGACATTTCGAGCAGCGCGCCCGGTATGAACCAACGACAAGGTGACTATCGCATGGATGGTCAGTACGACTCGAGAAACGAAACTAGAACCTTGGTCCTCTGGCAATGAGGCCTGTGCATTCCGAGTATATTCGCTGCCCACCAGGCCACCAGAGTGAGGTCCTGCATGGTGTTTATATCAGAGCTGCGAGGCACGAGAGTATTCTTGGTTTAGACTTGGATGGTTTGGATATGAGAGTCGCCGGCGGCGCGCGCCAAAGTCTCCCCGCCTTGTATTACGTCATTTCGACTTGCACATAAACGTGCATCTCCCCGTCAACTCTCTCTTTATTTGACTCCACCA